TTACATACAGTGAGATAGCCAAGGAATTTTAGTCCTTTGCTGCAGTCTGATTGAGCCAGCTTCACTCCCGTGCCCAACTGGGACCAGCAAAATCCCCTGGGGACTACCCCACTACCCAACACTGGCTGATCTAACCAATCAGGGTTGACCCTTGGAGCTCAGGATATGGCATACACCAAAACAAAATCAGGGAACAGGAAGTGTCTGGTGACCCACCCCACAACACTTAAACTCCCTCGGGAGTTCAATGGTTCAAGAACAGTGGAATGGGTTATCAGATATCAAGTATATAAAAAGTATTTACACCAGCCTATCAAGTAATTACATCAAGTGTATAAAACGCTCAAGCTACCTTTCATCCAAGGGAGAATCTTAAAGGAGATTTGTGAGTGTTTTGGAGAAAGATGTGCTTGAGCCTCATCTCCAAACTCCTCCCACAAGGGGTGAAACAGAGGTGGGTAAGAACCTTCACGCCTACCTCAACCTTAGTGAGGGGGGATTCCACAGGGCTTAATATATATCTCCCACATTTGCAAGACACACAGTCAGATTTCATGCTTTGGAAATTTAGAGGACTCTCTATTAGTGACATCAAATCACAGATGAGCTCCACATTGCTAAATTTAAGACCAACATTTAGTCTTCATCTTGTTTAATTTAGCTTTATCAAAACAGTTGAAAGTTTCTTCACCTGCTTCCAATAGACCATTATTCCAGGTTTTCCTCCACCTTCCATGGCCACTCGTCTCCTGCTGGGTCCTCTTAAATCCCCAACCTCTTGGTGACAAAAGTAGTCCAGGGTTCAATCCTTAGACCTCTCATTTCCTCTACCTAAATTCCTTCTTTCTGTATTTTGACAATTTTCCAATATTTATCTCCAACCCAGAACTCTCTCCTGAACTTCAGACTCATTTATCCACTGCCCTTGCAAAATCTCTAGTTAAATGTCTAATACATACCTCAAAATCAAGTTCTTGACTACCTCCTCAAAACCAGCTCCTTCCTGACTTCCCCCTCTCTAGTAATAGCAACTCTATCCTTCCATTTGCTCAAACAAAAGAAAAAAATGGACTCATTTCTGATTCCTCACTTTGTTCCATATCCTGCATCCAACCCATAGGCAAGAATATTTTTGCTGTTGTCTGTAAAATATATTCAGCACAGATCACTTCCCACCATCTCCACCATTATCTTTTATCTGGATTACTTCAAAACCCTCCCAATTTTCTCCTTCCTTTTCTACCTAGATTGCTACAAAAAGTTTCTCTTTTTTTTTTCCTTTGCTCAAGCAGATGGCTGCCTGCATAAGCCTTTTTAAAATGCAAGTTGTCATTCTCTTGCATGGAAACTTCCCATGGCTTTCCATCTCATTCAGAGCAACAGCTAAGTCCTAACAATGGCCTATCAAATCTTACAGTACATGCCTACCCACCCCCCAACACATTGTTCTGACATTATTTCCCCTCAGTCATTTCATTTGAACAGCTTCCTGTTCCTCCTCAAGCACACCAGACACACTCTGGCCCCAGGACCTTAACACAAACTGCTCTCCCAACATGCAATGCCTTTGATCCCAGATCCACATGGCTTTGCTTGCTCAACTCGTTCAAATATCACCTTACCAATAAGGCCTTTCCTAACCACCTTATTCAAAACAAACATCATCACCTTCCCCCATTCCCTACCTTCTTACCCTGCTGTCTTGTTCTTCATGTCACATAGCATGATTGCTTCTAAAGTACTTTATCATTATTTGTTTATTTTTTCAGTCTCTTTCCACAAAAATATAAGCTCCATAAAGGCAGGGATTCTTTAGTATATTGGTTGTTAAATTCTGCATATCTGGCATCTAGAACAGGGCCTGACATACAGCGGATACTCAATAAATATTAGAATGATTGCATGTACATTTTGCTTTCTATAGTTTTGGATTGTTTGGATCTTTTACAAGAAAATGCTCATTTATCTATTCAACAAATATGGATTCAGGACAAATCCAAACCAGTTTCTATACTATGTGCTGGGTCAAGGGTGCTGAGTAAAACTGGACCATGCTGCCTGAGCTCATGGAGTTTAGTCTAGTGGTAGATGATTGAAGTAATGACAAAACGAGTGGTAAATTCTGCAAGGAAGGGACACAGGTCTACAAAAGCACGTCCACAAGAAAACTGGCTCTGCCTGGGTAACACAGAGGTGGGTGTAGAAACAAGGTCTAGGGAACTAAGAAAGCCACAGGAGACTGGCAGCGAGGCTCTGTGTTATATGACTTCTCTATGATTTTCCTCAGGACTGCCTCTTCCCTGTATCAAAGAGTATGAAGTGAACCCCACACTACCTGCTGATAATTCCCTAAGTAGCACCTGAGCCAAGAAAGACCCACAAGCATTACAGAGGTGAAGGGGTGAGTGTGGCATAGAGTGGAGGAGTGGAGTTGAGGCAGAGGGAACTGTGTGGGCAAAGGTTCTAGAGTGGGAGGGACAATGGCACATTCTGGAACACAGCCAGCAAGGAGAGGGTGGCAGGAGAAGCAGCTGGAAAGGCAAAGGATGGGAAAGGAAGGGCAAAGCCCAGCAGACCCTCACAAGGATTCCAACTTTATCCCAAAAAGAATCAAAAGCCCCAGAAAGAGCCTTGTTTGTTTTTGTTTTGTTTTGTTCCATTTGCTTTGTCGTGACATGACTGGACCTGTATATTAAAAGCAGTATTGAAACTGGCTTTGTGGAGATTACATTACCTGAGGTAATCTGACCAGGGGCAACAAGATCAGTCAGGAGGAAACACTGGTAACTTGCCCCAGAGTAGAGGCAGGAAATGGAGAAAAGTCGACCAGTACAAGAGATTTCGTTACCTGTGTGCTATGGGCTGACTTGTCCTCCCAAAATTCCTACACTGAAGTCCTAACTCCCAGTACCTCAGAATGTGACTGGATTTGAAGATAGGATCTTTAGAGAGATTATTATGGTCATATGGATGGGCCCTAATCTAACATGACTGGTGTCCTTATGAGAAGAGGAAATTAAGACATACACACACAGAGGAAGACCATGTGAAGACACAGGGAAAAGACTATAATCTAAAGAGAGAGGCCTCAGAAGAAACCAAATCCACCCACACTGGTTTCAGATTCCTGGCCTCTAGAACTATGAGAAAATAACTTTCTATTATTTAGGTCACCCACTGCATGGTGTTTGTTATGGCAGCCCTAGCAAACTAATATACTGTGAGAAAAAAAAATTAAGTGAAGAATGAAATCTTTGAAGAATAAAAATAGATTTATTCTAATTGAAATCAGGGTGATGTATGATGGTAAAATTCAAACAAAAGAGCATTTCTTCGGTATTCCCAGAGATCGCTTCCACAACAAATCTGTATTGTCCCTAAAATGAAGAACAAGAAACACAAGTAATATAAAATGCTAGATGCTTCTATTTTGTAAGATTTCTGTAAGAATTTTTTTTTTACTAGGAGGAAATCATTTAAACTGGATTGGTTATCATTTTCTCAGTTTTTTAATGAGATGAAATTTTGTATGTCTAAATTCAGCACATATTTATTTCCCAATTATGAGTATGATTTTTAACAATTTTTTGAGACTATCCTATGAGAATTCCAAAAATTAGATATAAATTGTAAACAAAATCAGTAAAGAATATACATTGTTAAAGTTTATTTTTAAATAGTCACTGAAAGTGAAACGTGCAATATTTCATTGTTAGTTATCTAATGCAAACATCTAAAATCACATGGTTATTACTCATGGAGATCGTTACAGAGTTCTAGGCAGTGATTGTACAATGTTTTCACCCCAAAATCATTCAACATATTAATAATGAGCATTTGCATTACTTTTTAGCCATGTGTGTTAGAGGAGAAATGTGAAGTGAAAATGAGCTTTCTTTTGTGTAATTTTTTTATATTTCCATATTCTTTAGAACAGGGATTCCCAACCTCTGGGCTGTGGTCCAGCACAAGTCCAGGCCTGTTAAGAATTGGACCACGCGGCAGGAGGAGAGCTTGAATGTAATGCACTTGAAACATCCCGAAACCATTCCCCATGCCCACCCTCGTCCATGGAAAAATTGTCTTCCACGAAACTGGTCTCTGGTGCCAAAAAGTTTGGGGACCACTACTTTAAAAAGAAGAAATGGCAAAATACCCAAAACCAAACAAAAGTAGGAAAAAAATCTTGAATATCTTAATTTTGAGTCACGATTTTTAGGAGTTGTGAATTGCTTATTCAAGTTTTTCACATATCTGTTAGCACCAAAGATTAAGAAAGTACAAAATGACTGTTGGACAATACCTTAGGGAATCGTATCTCCTTGAAGGAGAATGGCACTGATGTATTCACAGTCTCTGCAAACAAAACACAAAAACATATCGGTAAACCTATCGGTCATCACTAGGTAACATTTTTTTTTGGCAGCATGGCTACACCTTTGACACTTTTACTACTGGCACCTGCAGCCCCAAACAAAATTGTAAAGAAATAATAGGTCTTATACTTCTCCTCCCATGGTCCTGTAGCTCCTCTGCCACCGCAAGCCTCTCTCAAGACAAGCATTAGGGGATGCAAACATTAAGGCCCAAAAGTGAATAAGTGATGAACAAGCAAGTGCTAATATGCTTCATCCCAAGTTATATACGTGCATATTTAATATTGCTGCTCCTTTAGCAGGGTATAATAGAGAAGGAAAGTTATTTTAAAAGTAAATATGCATAATACTTACTAATTTAATTTCCAAACTTTAAAGGGTCTCTTGATAGCATCATTGTTTCTTCAATCAGTATGTCCTGAGCTCTGGGCCTATATAGTTGGCTGCCAGATGAACATATTTACTTGAACCTTCCAAAATTACCTGGATCTCAACATGCCCAAATCAGAACTCATTATCTTTAAAAATACACCTTTTCTTTTGCACATATCATTTCAAATAATGGCTCTCTCATCCATCTGGTCACCAACCCTCAAGTGGTTCTTGATTTTACCTAATCTTTGCCTACCACGTCAATTTAGTCAGCATATCCACCAGTCCTGTCAACCAATATGCTCTCCTGGTCTCCTCCCCTTGACTCCAGGTCCACCATCTCTGTTCATCCTTCATGGCCTCTCACCATCTCCCAGCTGCTCTTCCTTCCACCCAAGTGTCCTGCCAGCTAATCCCCTCCTCCTTCCATATGGACACTAGCTGTCTGCAGAAATGGACATCTCTGTGGGTCATCCCTACCCACTGACGGCAAGCTGCAGACCAGTATTGTGCACACGACTTACATGCCTGCTGCTGCCCACCCTGTTCTGGGCTCATCTCCAGCAATTCCCCACAAGCACATTCTGCTCCAGCTACAAAAAAGAAAAAAAAAAAAGCTACTTTCCAGATAAGCCACATCCTCTCATGGCTACTAGATGTGTCTACATACGCTGTTTCCTCTCCAGAGAACAGCATTCCTCCTTGCTCTCTGATTCAAGAATAAAATACTCTCTGAAGACTTATCTAAGTTTTTCTGTCACAGTAAATTCATAACTATGCACATAGTGAAAACTAAGAGCCTATAAATTCGATTAGTTTTTATGACATTTTGTTGTCATTTTTGTTCCCATGACCATTTTCCCTAGAACAGGGGAACCTTCTGAAGACAGAGACCCTATCTTGTAGCTTTGGATCACAAGGCCCTAAATCATTACCTGCTCAAATTTGAATAAAATGTCAACGTAATCCTCAGAGATTGTGTGAAATCATTGTGAAACAATGGTTTTAAAAAATAGTAATCTACCAAGAGGATTTGTTTTCAAAGAGAAAGCATGACACAGTGGAAAAGTAGGCCTTAAAAGTCCAGAGGCTGCTTCGTTACTAGTTCTCTAAATGACCCTGGGCACAGTTCTGAACCATTCAGTCATCAGTTTTCTCACTTGTAAAAATGACAGGACTGTAAAATCAGGAACAAAAAAAAAATGAATCAACATGAATATTTATTATTTAATAACCATCATTTTTAAATTTTTACTCTAAGCGCTATTTTATACACATGCTCTAATTTAATCCTTGAAACCATGTAAAAGTGGTTTCACTGTGCCCATTTTACAGATGAGGCAAATGAGGCTGATTGTGACCCAAGATCACACTGCTAATAGGTGAGAAAGCTGCACAGTGATTCAGATCCATGAAACTCTGAGCGCAGACTCACCAGCAAAGCCAGGTCCATGACTTGTATGTGATTGGGAATGGCAGATAAAATAGAGATGTGGACAGATGGTTGGCTGGGAGACACACAGCAAGCACACCAATTTACTTAAAAATATTTTCTTTAAAAAAAAAGATTTTATTTATTATATTTAGAAAGAGAGGACGGGAGGAAGAAAGAGAGAAATGATTGGTTGCCTCTTGCATGCTCCAACCAGGAACCTGGCCTGCAACCCAGACATGTGTCCCAACTGCGAATTGAACGGGTGATCTTTGGGTTTGTGGGATGACTCCCAACCTACTGAACCACACCAGATCGAGCAAAAAAATATTTTCTTAATGATTGCTAGCAGTCATACAATCATATAATCAAACTGATGTCCCTTTTAAAGCAACTGTAAGCCTTTCCGTTATAAATTTTTATATTACTCTAATTCTATTAATTCCCTACCCTTATTTTTCATTTTGGTCCCATCTATATCTAGTGTATGTTATGTTGCCAAATTTAATGTATGCATGTTAACTACCTGAAATCTTTTTATTTTAAGCAAGAGGATATACAGGTTAATGGTAGTTAATTATATAGGAAAACATTTAACTTCAATAGTAAAAATTGTTAATAAAACAATTAAGTATATGTTTCTTTCTAATAAGGATTTTTAAAACTTTTTCTTTTAAATGATAATGCCCAATGTTAACAAGACAGAGATTAATCTACTATACTTATCCTTCGCTGGTGGTACAATGTATAAATTGGGACGATCCTTTAGAAATGCAATTTGGTCGTATGTAAATAAAAGCACAATTATACTAAATCCATTTAAGTTCAGAAATCTCCCTGGGAGCTTTATAACTCTTTCTTCCAAACATGGAAATATTCAAATCCAAAATGTGAGAAAAATTATATACAGAAACATTAATGATAATATTATTTATAATAGTACAACTACCAGAAGAACACTAAATGTCCAACAGAAGAACAGTTAAGTGAAACAGGCATAACCCACTAGGAAAAATTTCACCATAAAATATTTATACTCTGATTTTTGAACCACATGGACATGGTTATCTGGCAAAAGAACTAAATTTTTTACTGGTAATCAAGTATACTTACAACTACATAAATAATGTGCATAAAAGGAAATACTCCAGAATGACTTTAGAAATATGATTCATTGATTCCTTTATTGCTTATATTTTCCAATTTTTGGTAATGTAACAGTGCAATATTTATAAACTTTTAAAATATTTAAAAATACTAGTTTAAAAATTATTAAGAAAAAATTCATGAGTTTGTAATACTGACCTTATGGTGTTAAACTCTAAAGTTTCTAAAGGATTCTGTGAAAAGTTCCAGGGTGGGGGAAAAAAAAGAGAAAGACATTGAAGAAACAAATGTAGCTGCGTAGTAAAATCTAGTGAGTTTTTATAAAAAATTATAAATGTAGTGTTTACAAAAAGAGATCCATAACCAAGGGTTAATGTAGAATATTAATCTGAACAATAGAAAAGGTAAAAATTTTAATAGCCCTTCAAACACACTCAAGTGTCATCTTAATAATAACTCAGGAACATAATTGTAAAATGTCATTTAAACCACTAAAAGTGAAAACTTTGAATGGAGAAAAATCAAGATGGTGGTGGAGTGAATGGAAGTCACACTGACCTCCTCCCAGGACCAATCTGGAATTACAACTGCTGCACAACTAAATGGTGGAGAAATCACCTGGAACAAACAACTGAATAGGAAGAAAGGAGCCCTATAACCTTGGACAGATAGAAGAATCAGCTTTAGCACAAACTAACTGGTAAGGAGTGTGGAAGAGACTCGAGAAGGTGGGCGGGGTGCCCATGAGCTGTAGCACCAGAAAGATATCAAAACAGCCAGTTGGATCCCCCTGAGAAGAGTGGGGTCTAAACCATAAGCAGGGATCTCCAGCCTACAACATCAGAGCCCAAAAAGTACACAGAGAACAGCCAGTTGCGAAAAGCAGCGGGGCTGCTCTCTGCCAGAGACAGGTGGCTAGAGACACAAAGAGCTTTTTAAAGGGCCAATGCATAAATTTTTATTTGCAGCCACTTACCCTGGTCTCCGGTAAATGTGGGGTCAGAGTGGGCTAGAGATGCCTGAGGAGAGACTGGGGAAGGAGGCTTTGAGGAGATAATGGAGAGAGTAGCTGGTGGGATCCTGGTGAGGACTTGTCCCCCATGCGGCAGCAGCCATCTTGCTCAGGCAGACCACTCCTCTGAGCTGCAGTAGCGTGAGAGGACCCAATAATGCCACCCCCAGGAGGGACTCAGCCCTGCCCTGTGGTGTCTAAGCCAGCCTGCTGAGTGCAGAGTGACTAGATTAACAACTGAAGAAGAAAGCCACACACACAGTAGATTCCTGGAAGTCTCGAACGAACTGCCTAAGGTCAGACAGGGTCAACATCTGACATTATCAGAGGCAGATCCAGAAATAAAAAACAGTGGTCTCCTGCCATAGAAGTTCACACCACAAAGTCAGGAAGTCAAGACAGATCAATTTAAGAAGCAGAAGCAAAAAAAGAGTCTCGCAAATAATGGGAAGACAAAGAAACACGCCTCACCACCCCAGTCAAAAGGAAAGGAGCAATCCCCAGAAAGAGAACTAAATGAAATAGAGGAAAGTAAAATATCAGATATTGAGTTCAAAACAACAGTTCTAACGAAGTTCAATGAGCTCAGGGAGAATTGCAAAAACTACAGGGAAACTACGAGGAACTTACTGCAAACTTATCAGCATGAAAAAGGACATAGAAATTATCAATAAGAGACAAGAGGAAATGAAGAATGCAATTTCTGAATTAAAGAACACAGTATAAGGAATCAAAAGCAGACTAGATGAAGCAGAGAATCGAATCAGTGAGTTGGAGGACAAGATAGGAAAAAGTTCCCAGAAAAAGCAAGAAATGAAAAAAGACTCAAAAAGAATGAAGAGGCATTGAGGGAAATGCAGGACAACCTGAAACATAATAATATTCATATAATAGGGATAGCAGAAGGAGAAGAAGAGGAGCAAGGGATAGAGAACCTGTTTGAAAAATTAATGATGGAAAACTTCTCTAATTGGAAGAGAGAAAAAGCCACACAAGTCCAGGAAGCACAGAGGATCCCATTCAAGAGGAACCCAATGAGGCCCACTCCAAGACACGTCATCATTAAAGTGGCAAATATCAAAGACAAACAGAGAATCCTAAAGGCAGCAAGGGAGAAACAAGTAGTAACATAGAAGGGAACCCCAATACGGCTAGCAGCTCACTTCTCAAAGAAACACTGCAAGCCAAAAGGGAATGGCAAGAACTATTCCAAGTCATGTAAAGCAAAGGCCTGCAACCAAGACTGCTCTACCCAGCAAGGCTATTCATTAAAATGGAAGGTGAAATAAAGAGTTTCCCAGACAAAAGAAGTTTAAAAGAATACACCTCCACCAAACCAGCCTTGCAAGAGAGGCGAAAGGGACTGCTTTTAGAGGATAAAAAGAGCCTATGAATACCCAGTTCCTTTACAGTCACCAATGCTTGATATTACCAATATTTTTTAATATGTATTAATCTGATTGTGACAATGATGTGTTATTTTAGTTGTTACTTTATTATTTGTTTAAACTAAACCTGTTTTGTATATTTCTATTACTTTTAAAAAGTTTTAAATGACTTTTTCCTCTTCTTTATCCATTTTTTGATTAAATGTTTGTAGAATTTTTTCTCTAAAAAAACAAAACTATTAACCCTTTTTTAGATGTGTTGCAAATATTTTCCTGCTCTATTACTTGTCCTTTAACTTTTTTCATACGTATATTACTATATAGTCTTAAATGTTTAATATAGTCACATTGTCAATATTTTACTTTATAGCTTCTGGGTTTGAATATTTTATTTCAGGGTAATAAAAATATTATTTTGTATTTTCTCCTAAAACCCCTTAGGTTTTACATACTGGTTTTTGACTCACATGTATACTTTTGGTATAATGTGTGAAATAAGGCTCTATATTTATTTTGTTTCAAGTAATGGTGGTCTGTGCACCTTATTTGTTGGACAAGCCTTATTGTCCCCATTGATTTGAAATATCAATTTAATCATATATTACATTTTTACACAGATATATACGTTTGTTTCCAGAATGCTCATTTCATTTCATTTCGTTGATCTACTAGATTATTTCTGTGCTGGTGTCATGTTTCAATTGCTGAGACTTTATAACTGATTTAAATTTTTTAATATTTTATAATGGATTTTGACGTTTAAAAAACAAATAAATGAAATCAATCTGCATTTTAAAAAAAAGGAAAGAAGGAAGGAAGGAACTCCTACCTTTTGCGACAACATGGATGGAACTGAAGAATATTATGCTAAGTGAAATAGGTCAGTCAATGAAAGGCAAATACCATATGATTTCACCTAGAAATGGAATCTATTAAACAAAATAAACTAATGAACAAGAGAAACCACAGGCATGGAAACATGAAGCAGATCAAAAGTGACCAGAGGGGATGGGGAAAGAAGACGATGATGGAAAGAAGGGGAAGGGACTAGACAAAGAACATGTATGAATGACCCATGGACATGGACAGCAGTGTGGGAATTGGCTGTGGGATTAGGGTGGGATTGGGGTGGGATGTATGGAGGAGGGCAAAAGGGGGAAAAATTGAGACAACTGTAAGAGAATAAACATGATTTAAAAAAAATAAAAGCGAAAACCTTGAATGGAATTAAAGAATTATTATCAGAAAAGTAACTTGACATTTTCAGTGTATTTAATTCTTATCACATTCTCATAAAGTATTATATTCTATTCTGAGAGTAATAAATTACATGCTTACCTCCTTTTAGAGCTCCACAAAAAGAATATTTATCATCAGATCCTCGGCAAATAACTTCTTTGCGCATTGGGAACTCCAAAGTGTTAATAGATAAATGCAAATTGAGATATAATTTTTTAATGTCTTTTCCTTAAAAAGAAAAAAATCCCATTAGTCCTTCATATAAGAGATTATTTTATAAATAATAATTAACATTTATTATATACATAAAATGTTCCTTGTGTTTTTCCAATATTATGTCATTTAATTAACACAACTACCTATAATGTGAGTATTGTGATCCTTGTTCTGTAAATGAGAAAACTGAAATTTTGAGAGGGTAACTAGTGGATTGTAATCAAAGAAAATATTTCACAGTAAGACTCATGTGCTATGACACATGAAGCTAGAAGGACCTATTTTTTTTTAATCAAATGAAGATATAAAATTTTCTGTCCTAGTTACATTTTTTGCTAGGAAGTTCAAAGAAAGAAAAGGAAGTAAGAATACTCATGCCCACTTTTTAGTAATTTTGATGAAAGATTTCTTGGAGAACAAAATTAAACCTTTTGATTAAAAATTGGGTAGTGAGCTATTTATTATAGCTTTATGAGCGTTCTATTACCAATTAACATGAAAAAACTCAGTCAACAATGTATTTGGCTCAATTCCTAAAAGTTATTCAGTTAGCCGAACTAGGAAACATGTACAATCATTTTTATAATGAAAATAATTGATTATAACCACCACCTCATTGAAAATATTTTCATAATAAGGTCATCATAACTCACTGTAGCCATAATCAAAGGAAAAGTTTTCTACCTTTAACTTGAACTTGGCTGTGTGTAACAGAACTGCCAACTCCTTCCTTAAAACTCTCCATTTGGTAGTTAATTGTCCTTCAACCTCTCTTACTCCTCAGTCTGTTCATTAACTCCTCTTTATTAAGGTTCTATCCCCAGTTTTCCTCAATAGCATTTATTCCGCACAATCTGTCTGGCTTTAAGTGCCACATAGGATGCTAATTCCCAAAATGCCATCTTTAGTCTCAACATTTCTCCTGAGCACTGTCTCATATGTACATTCAATATCTCTGTTCAAATGTTGCTCATTACCTTACCCTACAGATTCTAAACTGATTTCCTCATCTTCATCCACAAATCACATCCACACTAGAATTCCCAGTCCCAATAAATCTTACTAGTGTTCATTTCATCCTTATTACCATGGTCTTAATGCAGGCCCTCATTACTCTGAGTCCAAGGGACCACAGAATTTCTTAATTTGTCTTCAGTTCTCTGCTTACAGAGTAAAGTATAAAGAACATAACCTGCTTCAAAAACCTCAAAAACCATGGATGTGAGCAGAAGTTGAAGAAATGTTTTATGAGAAATTCCTTAGAAAAAAGAATTACCAGTACTGTTGTGGTGTTAAAAGACAAGGTAGGGCAAGGAACCTTCTTCCATTTCTGCATGGAACACAGTATGTTCCTCGTCTTCGATGACTCCAAGAAAGTCTTGTTTACCTCTTGAGAAGCTTCTTGCCCTTGGACATCACTGTGGTCATGTTAGCCACATTAAAAGTGGTCAACGTAAGGTACCACTTGCATGCTTCAGCAGGCCAGGGATATTAATGTGTATGTTAGGATGAGAGACAAGAAACTGGTGGCTGCCATGTGGTAACAAAGATGATGGTTTTTGACCTCACCTAAGACAACTCCAGGAACTACCAGAAATAATTTTCAAGGAGACTTATGGTCCAGCTTTCTTTGCCAACCAGTTAATGGTACACAAATAATTTACTAGCATGGTTATAAAGCCTCAAAATAAGTAATTTCCTTTCCCAACCTAATTTTTATTCAATTTGTACTTATTGCTCTTACTGAGCAGAAGTAGAGAGAATGCCTAATAATAAGGTTGATTTCTATAACGTGACCCCATGCCTTACACAGAAATTTTAATATATTCTAGGGAAACTCAGGTCACAATTGCAGAGCTCTATAAAAGTATAACTGAATAATTATTTTCTTAGTAAATTAATATAATGTAATATGTACGTCATATTTAGTAAATGAATAAGCTATCATGGTGGCCACGGAGGTATGCTACTCAAACTTTTCCTCCAAAGAACGTGCTGGAAGGAAAATAGTTGGCAGACAGCCCTCAGCTGTTATACCTTTGTATCCATCTCATCCAGAGGCCAACCTCCCGCAGGTCGTTCCTCTAATGACTGAGCACTGCTAAGGACACTAGAGCCAGCCTACTCCTGCCTGTATGGGACACTTGTGATAAGCAGTATTTGCTCTAAGGTCCCCATTGACCTGGCTGAGAGGATCTCAGGGATGCATTTGGGTCTGATCACTACCTTACCAAATTCTCCTTCCTTCCTGCCCTCTCTCATTTCAAAGTCATCAGGTCTATACCTCACTCTGAACTGTCTCTTTGCCTGCTTGGGCACCCTCTTCCTTTTATTGTTCACCAGCATTTCCTCCAGATAAATCTCTTATATGTCTAATTCTTTCTTGATATATGCTTTTCAGAGAATCCTGAGTGATACCATATTTTATTATTATGACTTGGGCCTGGAAGGTTACAGCTTGCTTCCTGTGTGTAAGGTTAAGGGGTTTGCATGAAAATTAGGTCATTCATTATGTCAATAATCACTTCTGCCAAACATCTAGGGGTAAAACACACCACATAGATCAGAAAACAAAACCTGACAAAAGGAGGAGAAATTATTTAGAAAAAAATTATTTCTTTTATTCTTGGCCAATAAATAGAGTTGATTGTTCTTTGCACTGCACTATCATTAAGCCTCACTACAGTCACTTCACTTATTAAGCCATGTTATCTATAGGTCTGCCCCTCCAGTTACACTGAGAGAGCCTTGAAGATCAAGAGAATGTTTTATTTATCAATGAATTCTCAGTACCTACCACAATACTCAAAATATACTCTACATTTTTCAATGAATTAATGAATGCAGAAATGAAGTACCCAACTACAGTTTGGACAAATAAATTCAGAAATATTAAAACATGAGTTTTGTCCATTATTTCTGGGTTCTCAGCTACCTCTTTTCTTGTAAACTAAAGAACTAAAATCAGGGGGAAATCTTTATTTAAACTTACTTATGTGAAAAAACTTTGTAAAGTATAAGCTCCAAATATAAGCCATGCTGTAAATGATGATGAAAACAATAATGGTAATGTGGATGATAAGAGCTGAAGTTTCCTGGATCTTAGGGCTTACACAAAACAAAGCTAACTGGTGTGAAAGGATAAAGGTTTTTCTAATTTTTCCCAAACATTCAGGTCCAGCCCAATGCTATCACCATCACCCAATTTAGTTTTTACTAAGCTGATGACAACTAAAACCATGGAGAGGAAAAACAATACAAAATAAAAAACATTGTCTTTTTTTATCCCATCATCATTTTTTTTAAGAAAGGTCATTTTTAGAAAAAAATGTCTTGGCTTGCTCATACACAGATCTTTAACTAGTGGAAACCCAACTTACTTATCAGTTGAATAGCTAATGACTAGCAAAGGATATACCTATTAGATTATTAGAAGTCCCAAGTTATTCCCACTTTTTACCCCCTGTCTTTATGTAGTCCCTTCCTCATTAGAGTGAGCATAGTGACTTGCTTCTAATAAATAGGTCAAGCAAAGTTGATAGAGTGACTCTTCCATGACTAAGCTACATAAGATTGTGACTTCTATCTTGTTAGCTGACCGCCCCCTTTGCTGGTTTTGATGAAGCAATAAGCCAGGTTGAAAAGGCCTGTATCACGAGGAACTGAAAGCTGGCCAGCAGGCAGACAGGAACTGAATACTGTCCACAATCACATGAGAACTGAAGTGGATCCTTCCCTGTTTGAGCCTTCAGAAGAGACTCCAGTCCTGGCACACAACTTGATTGCAACTTTGTGGGAGATCCTGAAGTAGACACAGCGAAGCAATGCCTCAACTACTGACACACGAAGACTATGAATATATGTACATTTAGAACACAATCATTTGTCACTGATATTTTCTGAACTCTTTTAACTGATCTACAAAAACAAAACTTTGAACTTACTTGGAATGAAGAAAATATGCAGAAATCCCTGGCTTCCTTTCACTGTTACACACGGTTCAGGTTTTATTGAAATAGGATATTCCATGTTATCTAAATGGAATAAAGATAATGCCAATAAGTTATTTCCAATAAAGTATTCTGAAATTCGGACTCCAAATGATGCCTTTAGCATTAAAATTGTATAATGAAAAAAACTGAGGGTGGTTAAAAATATCTCCCTCCCCAGAGGAACATCAGCAGGATGGCAGAGTAGGAAGTCCAAGACCCTTCTTCCCCCAACAAACATTCAAATTCGGCAACAATTCGTGAACAAATTCCCTTTGTGAGAAATCAGAAACTAATTGAAATTTTCTTGAGTCCCAGAAGAAATCGAATCCAGATTCACTGAAGTTGGTAGTGAAATTTAGGACTCCTTCCCAAAAAAGATCTTGTGCCAGGCACAGCAAAATCAGGGGGAAAAATCCCCTAACCTCCAGCTTCACTCAGGAGGGAAGATGTTTCTTCATGTATCCAGATCCCCTCATTTTCCAAGGGGGATCCCCAAAGGAATGAAGCAATAGAAAGTCAGGACAGATCTTAAACTAGTATAGAAACTGAATAAGTAATCAAAATCTTCCCAACAAAGAAAAGCCCAGGACATGGATAACTTCACAGGTGAATTCTACTAAAAATTTAAATAAGAATTAGACCAATACTTCTCAAACTCTTCCAAAAAATTGAAAAGGAGGAAATGTTTCCCAAATCATTTTATTAGCCCAGAATTACTCCGACACCAAAGCCAGACAAAGACACCACAAGAAAACAAAGCTACAGACCAATATCCCCAATAAATACAGATGCAAAAATCATCAACAAAATACTAGCAAGCTGAATTCAACAACACATTAAAAGGATCAAGATCACGTGGGGTTTATTCTTCTGATGCAAGGATGTTTCAACAAATAAAAATCAATCAATGTAATACACCACATTAATAAAACGAAGGGTAAAAATTGTATGATCCTCTCCTATTTATGATGAAAATGCTCAGCAAAGTGAGAATAGAGAGAAGATATCTCAATGTACTAAAGGCCACATATGACAAACCCATAGCCAACATCACACTCAATGAGTAAAACTGCAAGCACTCCCCTTAAGACTGGGAACAAGATAGGAATGTCTGCTTTCACCTTTCTCATTCAACGTAGTAGTGGAAGTCCTAGCCACAGAAATCAGATAAGAAGAAATAAAAAGTATCCCAACTGGAAAACAAGAAGTAAGACTGTCATTATTTGCAGATGACATGATACTGTATGCAGAGAACCCTAAAGATTCCACCAAAAAACTACTTGAACTGATAAATGAGTTCAGTAAAGTAGCAGTACACAAAATGAAACCCAGAAATCAGTTGCATTTTATATGCCAATAATTAACTATCAGAAAAGAAAAATAAGGGAAAAATCCCAGCCTTGAATGGCATGGATTCGTTGGTTGAACATTGTCCCACAAAGCAAAAGGTCTCTGTTCAATTCCCAGTTGGGGCACATGCCTGGGTTGTGGGTTGGGTCCCTGGTCACAGTGCACATGGGAGGCAACTGATTGATGTTTTCTCTCACATCAATGTTTACCTACCACTCTTTCTCCCTCCCTCCCCCTCACTCTAAAAATAAATATGTAAAATATTTGGAAAAAATGAAAACAATCCCATTAACAATTGCTTCAAAAAGAATAAAATACCTGGGAATAAATTTAACCAAGAATGTAAAAGAAGTGTACTTGGAAAATTATAAGACACTTAAGAAAGAAATAGAAGATTAAAATAAGTGGAAGCATATACTGTATTCATGGGTAGAAAAATTAACATCCTTAAAATACCATACTACACAAAACAATCTATAGATTCAATACAATTCCTATCAAGATACCAATAGCATATTTCACAGAACTAGGACAAATACTCCAAAAATTTACATGAAACCATAAAAAAAAAAAACCCTGAATATACAGTTATCTTGAAAAGAAGAACAAAGTTGGAGGAATCACGTTACCTAATATCAAACTATACTGTAAGGCCATAGTGATTAAAACAGCATGGTACTGGCATAAAAACAGACACTGTAGTGGAATAGAGAGCCCAGAAATAAACTCACACCTTTATAGTCAATTAGTATTTGACAAAGGAGGAAAAAACATACAATGGACTAAAAATGAAAATAGACCACCTTCTTACAACACACATGAGAATACACTCAAAATGGATTAAAGACTTAAATTTAGATTCAAAACCATAAAAATCCTAGAAGAAAACACATGCAGTAAAATCTCGGACATTTCTTATAGCAACATATTTTCTGATATGTCTCCTCAGGCAAGGGAAACAAAGGAAAAGATAAACAAATGGGACTACAGCAAACCAAAAAACTTTTGCATAGTGAAGGAAACCATCAACAAAATAAAAAATAACCCACTGAATGGGAGAACATATTCACTGAAACATCTGATAAAGGGTTAATATCCAAAATTTAAAAGAACTTTTAAAACTCAACACCAAAAAATATATAATCCAATTAAAAAATGGGCAAAGGACCTGAATAGGTACTTCTCCCAAGAGAATATACAGATGGCCAAAAGACATAAGAAAGGATGCTCAATTTCACTAGCCATTAGGGAAATGCAAATTAAAACCACAATGAGACAGCACCTCACATCTGTCAGAATGGCCATCAACGATAAATCCACAAACAACAAACGTTGGCAAAGACGTGGAGAAAGGAGAACCCTGGTGTGCTTTTGGTGGGAATGCAGATTGGTGCAGCCACTGCAGAAAGCAATATGGAGTTACCTCAAAGAATTAAAAAGGGAACTGCCTTATGGCTCAACAATTCCACTTCTAGGAATTTATCCAAAGAAAACTGAAACACTAATTCAAAAGAATATATGTGCCCCTTTGTTCTTTGCAGTGTTATCTATAATCACCAAGATATGAGAGCAGCTCAAGTGTCCATCAGTATAAGAGTAGGCAAAACAGCTATGGTACATTTACACAATGGAATACTACTCGGCCATAAAAAAGAAAATTTTACACTTTACAACAGCGTAGATGGACTTGGAGAACATTACTGGGCTAAATGAAATAAGCCAGTCAAAGAAAGACAAAGGCCACATGATTTCACTGTGGAAATCTAATGAACAAACCAAACTAACAAGAAAAACAGAGACAGATTCATAGATAGAGAGCAGGCTGACAGCACTGAGGGTGGGGGACTGCTGGGTGGTGGAGGGATTGAGCAAAATGGAAAAAAAAAAAAAGAGAAAGAATTCATGAACACAGACAAGAGAGTGGGGACAGCAGGAGGGAGGTGGGTGGATGAAAGTAGAAGAGCGTATAGAGGGGATAAGTGGCAATGGAAAAAATACAATAAAAAAAATAAAAATTATCCTGACCAGTGTAGCTCAGTTGGTTGGGCAGCATCCCCCAAAGGGAAAGGTCACCAGTTTGAATCCCTGTCAGGGCACGTGCCTGGATTGTGGTTCAGTTCCAGGGCTGGATGCATGCAGGATGCAACTGATCAATGATTCTCTCTCACATAGCTGTTTCTCTCCTTCTCTTTCTCCCTCCCTTACCCTCTCTCTAGAGATAAATAAATAAAATCTAAAAAAATAAGTAAAAATTAATATTAAAAAATAAAATCTCTCTCCAAAAATTACATGATCATCTCAATAGATGCAGAAAAAGCATATGACAAAATTCAACACCTCATTTTGGTAAAAACTCTCAACAAACTAGGATTAGAAGAAATGGCCTCAACATAATGAAAGCCATAGCTAAACATCACACTCAAGGTTGAAAAACTGAAAATTTTTCCTCTAAGATCAACAACAAGCCAGGGATACCTGCTCTCAACACAGTATTGAAAGTCCTAGCTGGATCAATTAGGCAAGATAAGTAAATAAAAGACATCTAAATCAGAAAGGAGGAAGTGAAATTTATATAGAGAAAAACGAAAGACTCCATTTAAAAAAAAAAAAGCAATGTTACAACTAACCAACAAATTTAATAAAATTGCAGGACAAAGAATCAACATACAAAAATCCTTTGCATTTCTATACACTAACAATGAGCTACCTGAAAAGGAAATTTGGGGAAAAAATCCCATTTAAAATAGCATCAAAAGAGTAAAATACCTAGGATTAAACTTAACTAAGGAGGTGAAAAACTTGTATCCTGAACACTATAGAACATTGAGGAAAGAAATTAAATAAGACGCAAATGGAAAGACACCCTCTGTTGACTGGAAGGCTCAATATTGTTTAAATATTCATATTACCGAAAACAATCTACAGATTCAATACATTTCTTATCAAAATATCAATGGCATTTTTACAGAAATATTTTTAAAAATTCTAAAATTCATACAGAACACAAAATACCACTAATAACCAAATTAATCCTGAGAATGAGAGAAAAAAAAATCTAGAGGCCTTACACTTCCTGACTTCAAACTATATCACAAAGCTACAGTAATCAAAACAATATAGTACAGTATAAACATATAAACCAATGGCACTAAACAGAGATCCTAAAAATAAATCCATACATATACTGTCAAATAGTCTTTAACAGGGTGCCAAGATGCACAATGGGGAGAGAACAGCCTCTTCAACAAACGATGCTGAGAAAGCTGGATGTCCACATGCAAAGAATGAAACTCGATCCTTAATTTTCACCATACACAAAAATCAATTCAAATGGATTAAAGACTTAAATGTAAGATTCAAAACTGTAAAAATCCTAGAAGAAAACATAAGGGGATATCTTGAAGACATTGGCTTTGACAATGATTTTATGACTATGACACCAAAAGCACAGGCAGGCAAAATATAAAGAAGTGGGATTACATCAAACTAAAAATGCTTGAGGGCTTCTGGACAAGATGGAGGCATAGGTTTTCCAGCCAGGGAAAACAAAAACCTCAAAACCTCTGGCTGTAAAAACTGGGTGGGAAGAGGCAGCGGGAGAAGCCCCCAGCCTCTCAGGAGAGTCTGTTGGAGAGACCCACAGAAATCTAGAACATACACAAACCCACCTACCCAGGAATCAGCTCCTAAGGGGCCCAAGTTGATTGTGAGTAGCAGGGGAAGTGACTGAGAGCTAGCTGAGAGCCAAGTAAATGTCACTGTTCCCTGTCAAACCCCTCCCCCCCACACAGCATCAAAATGCAGCAACCTGGGTTGCCCTGCCCTGGTGAATACTTAAGGCTCCGCTCCTTACAACATAGCAGGTGCTCTGGGAAAAAGATATATGGCCCAATGAAAGAACAGATCAAAACTCCAGAAAAAGAACTAAACAATGAAGATAGCCAACCTATTAGATGCACAGTTCAAAACACTGGTAATCTGGATGCTCACACAAATGGTTGAGTATGGTTGCAAAATGGAGGGTAAAAATGAAGGCTACACAAACTGAAATAAAGAAAAATATACAAGGAACCAACAGTAAAGGGAAGGAAACCGGGACTCAAATCAACGATTGGGAGCAGAAGGAAGAGATAAACATTCAACTGAAACAAAATGAAAAAACAAGAGTTCAAAAGAATGAGGAGAGGCTTAGGAACCTCCGGGACAACGTTAAATGTTCCAACATCCGAATCATAGGGGTGCCAGAAGGAGAAGAAGAAGAGCAAGAAACTGAAAACTTACTTGAAAAAATAATGAAGGAGAACTTCCCCAATCTGGCAAAAGAAAGAGACTTCAGGAGATCCAGGAAGCTCAGAGAGTCCCAAAGAAGTTGGACCCAAGGAAGCACACACCAAGGCACATCATAGTTACATTACCCAAGATTAAAGATAGGAGAGAATCTTAAAAGCAGCAAGAGAAAAGGAGACAGTTCCCTACAAAGGAGTTCCCATAAGACTCTCAGCTGATCTCTCAAAAGAAACCATGCAGGCAAGGAGGGGCTGGAAAGAAGTATTCAAAGCCATGAAAGCCAAGGACCTACATCCAAGATTGCTCTATCCAGCCAAAAGCTATCATTTAGAATGAAAAGGAGGATAAAGTGATTCCCAAACAAGGTCAAGGTAAAGGAGTTCATCATCACCAAGCCCTTATTCTATGAAATGTTAAAGGGACTTATCTAAGAAGAAGGAGAAGATCAAAAACTATGAACAGTAAGATGACAACAAACGCACAACTATCAACAACTGAACCTAAAAAAACAAAAACAAAAACAAACTAAGCAAACAATTAGAACAGGAACGGAATCACAGAAATGGAGACCAGAGGGGAGTGGGTGGGGGGGCATTGGGGAAAAGGTACACGGATTAAGCAGCAAAAATAGTAGGTACAAAATAGACAGGGGGAGGTTAAGAATAGTATAGGAAATGGAGAAGCCAAAGAACTTATATGTACGACCCATGGACATGAACTAAGGGCAGGGGGTCGGGGGAATGCAGGTTGCAGGGGCAGTGCAGGGATGAGGGGAATAAAGGGGAGAAAAAATGGAACAACTGTAATAGCATAATCAATAAAATATATTTTAAAAAATAAAATGGAATTTAAGACAGTCTGTTAGGGTACAAACCCACCATCTTCTTAGATTGCCAACCACCTGAATAAAGCGCACATAAAAATTCAAAAATAAAAATAAAAATAAAACTGTTGCACAGCAAAAGAAATAATCAACAGAATGAAAAATTAATCTATAGAATGAGAAGAATTATTTTCAAATATACATCTGATAAAAGGTTAATATCCACAAAATATAAGGAATTCCAACAATTCAATTGTATTTAAAAAATTAAAATTAAAAAAAAAACTCACTACCTGTATTTAAAATAGACTAAGGACTGGAGTAAACATTTCTCCAAAGAAGATATGCAAGTGAGCAACAGGTATATAAAAAAATGCTCAATAACACTAAGTATCAGGGCAATGCAAATCAAAACTACAATAAGATATCCCCTACCTGCCAAGATAGTTATTATTTTCTTTAAAAAGTGTTGGCAAGGATGTGGAAAATTGGGAAGCTTACACACTGTTGGTAGGAATGCAGAAATGGTGCAACCAATTATGGAAAACAGTATAGAGATTCCAATTAAAAATGGAACTACCATTTGATCCAACCATCCAACTTCTGATTAATTATCCAAAAGAATTAAAATAAAGATCTCAAAGAGATACTAGCACTCCCAAGTTCATTTCAGCATTATTCATAATAGCCAAGGTATAGAAACAACCAATATCCATTGATAGATAAGTGGATAAAGCAAATGTGGTACATACATACAATTAAATAATATTCAGCCTTTAGAAAGGAAGGAAATTTTGCAATTTGCTACAACATGAATGAATCTTGAGGACATTATGCTAAAGGAAATAAGTTATATAAGGACACGTACTATATGATTCCACTTACCTGTAGCATCTAAAATAGTCA